GAGCTGGTCGCTGAGCACCCAGGCCTGCGCGTGGTGTGGGTGCCCGCGGACCTGGGCTCGGATGCCGGCCTTCAGCAGCTGCTTGGAGCCCTGCGTGACCTCCCCAGACCCGAAGGGCTTCAGCGGCTGCTGCTTATAAACAACGCTGGTGAGACGCGGGGGCTGGCGCGGACTCTCCATTTAAGCGTTCACTTCCCACGTCGCTGGGCGATTCCTACCTAGGCGGGCAGACTAGGCGGCTGAGTCCAAAGGACTAGTTGTTTCATCTGTGGCTGGAAGCTCCGTCCTTGTCCCCATGCCAATCTGATAAGGAGGACACGGTTTTGAGAAAAAGGAAAAAGAGGTTTATGGCTTTGCTAATAAAAGAGAAACAGGGGACTCTGTCCCAAAGACTGTGATTCTGCCCATCAGTAGGAGTAGGGGTCTTTTAAAGAGGTGATTCAAAGGCTACAGTCCACCTGGTCTCTGTTGGAGTTGTAATTTACTTGTTAACTTGGGGGATAGTCATTTCTGAGATCTTCTGGTACCAACCCCAAACTCTGGATTACTTTGTTTCTATGGTGGGTGTGTAATCAAGGACAGATAAATCTGCCTAAAGTGGGGAAGAAAGGTAATCCCGTTTCCCCTGAGATCAGGGAGTGTGTGGGGGGCGGTTATGGAGGAACAGAGAGAGAAAGAACCATGTACATTTGAAAAAAAAATCAGTTGCAGTGGCAGAGCAGCAAGGGTCATATTCAAAGCATAAAGTTACACTGTTACACAGCCTCCATGGCACATGGAAGCAAAATGTACAGGAGGAAGGCCGGGTGCTCTGGTACTGACCTGGTTCTCGACCTGGTCCTCATCCGGACACGGTTGGCCCAATCAAGTTTTCTAAAGTGTTATTGAACTTTACAGAACATTTTGCGCAGCCCTCTCTAGCGAGGGCCTGCGTCAATACACTTCAACTACCCCTAGAGCTTCCTGGCTAGACTCCTGCTCCCCAGTCCCAGAGCAAGACAAGCGCATTCTCAGTGGGCAGCTCGAGTGGTTGGTCTTCTCTCTACATATTAGTCTTTCTTCAGAGCTTGGGAAGCAGGAAACGCCTTGGGAAGTGCGAGGCGGATGCTTGCTCTTGGTCTGGATGGGAAAGGTGTCTGGAGGGCCCTGGGAGAAGAAAGCCCCTCCTGTGCTGGGTTATTTCTTTTGCTTCCCACACTCCTGGTGCTGGGGATTGAACCCACAGTCTCCCACATGCTAGGCAAGTGCTCTACCATGGAACTACATCCCTGGTGCTTCACTGAGTTATTTCCACCTCTGTTTTTTTCAGCCACTCTTGGGGATATTTCCAAAGGCTTCCTGAACCTAAGTGACCCAGCTGAAGCAAACAGCTACTGGGCTATGAACTTGACTTCCATGCTCTGCCTGACCACCGGACTACTGAGGGCCTTCCAGGACTGTCCTGGCTTGATCAGGACTGTGGTTAACATCTCATCCATCAGTGCCCTGCAGCCCTTTAAGGGTTGGGCATTGTACTGTGCAGGGAAGGCTGCCCGTGCCATGTTGTTCCAGGTCCTGGCTGCAGAGGAACCAAGTGTGAGGGTGCTGAGCTATGACCCAGGTAGGTGGAAGGTATTGCCATCACTGTTCCCCAGAATTGGCTGGTCCCCCTCTGAGGGCTGGACAGAGGGCCTAGTCTGTCTCCTTGGGGGAAGGACCCACAAGGTATGTTGTTTCTGAATCATGATCTCACACCTCAGGGAAAGATAGATTCCAGAGAAGTTAAGAGCTGGAAGGAGGGGGTGGGGACTTGCCTCGACTAGAGGGTTGAACAGGGAAGTCTGAGATATTAGATGAAGAACACTAGGGTTTGAATTTTGAGCCCAAACCACCTCATGTGAAATGGTAAAGATGCTACCTGTCTTAACAGGGAAGTAGGGGAGCTAAAGGAGATATGCATGTGAAAATGATCCTCTTCAGTGGAGTACTCTCTAATTGGTAGAACTTCTAGTTGCTCCATAGGACTTGTCACATTGCATTACATTTATAGGTGTACTTGATGGGAAAACCGGTTCATCTGTGTGTGCCCAGCAGCAAGCTAGCAAAGCTACTGGGCTATGAACTTGACTTCATGCTCTGCCTGACCATCAACCTCCTGGTGGTCTTCCAGGATTGTCCCGTAGTGGGACAGTATTGGGCAGTCTGCAGAGAATGTTAGCTGAGTGACATGCAGACAGACATTGTTGAGTGGTGACAACCTAGGCTGAACTGGGCTGGAACCCTTGCAGTGGGCGATGCTGGGATGAATAAGATCATTCCTTGTCCTTGTGGAAGTTGAAAGGTATGGGGTCTTGGGACACCTGGTCTGGTTTCTGACCTCTCCACCCAAATACCACATGCCAGGGCCTTTATTCTAGACTTGCAGTTCCTGAAGTTAGAAGGGGGTGACAGGGCTGTGGTTGAATGTCTGAGCAGCCAGGTGGAGATCCAGCTTTGTGTCCTGGGGACACAGATATAGAGTGGCCTGCCCAAAGCCCATATGTGGCAATACCAGGATTCTACCTTGCTTCCAAGATTTTGATCAGTACCATGTGTGCATCTCACGTTCTCCATTGCTCCCACCCCAGCAAACACATGCAGTTATTCTGGAGCCAACATCCCAGCTCATCACAGGCTCTGAGCTCAGCCTAGAGCTCAGTCAGACCACGGTGACCAAATGTCAGTTAAGCTAGGCGTGGAGATGGCAGATGGCCAATGACTAGGTTTGATGTCAGGAGTCTGGGCATTCTGAGATTTTTAGGAGCTCCCCAGGGCCTGAACAAGGCAGAGATCAGTCTGGTTTTCATTTCAGTTTCTGGAAGAATGTTCTAGGGCTGGGATTGTGGCTCAGCAGTACAGCGCTCACCTAGCATGGGCGGGACCTGGATTCGATCCTCAGCACCACAAAAAATAAAGGCATTGTGTTGTGTCCATCTACACCTAAAAAAATAAATATTTAAAAAAAGAATGTTCTAACAGGTGTCCAAAGATAGAGTGGGCTGTTTGGAAAGGTAGCACATCTCCTGTCATCAGGATGCACAGGTGATTGGAAGGTGTTTGAATGTCAGGAAGGTGATTCTCTTTTCAGCACCGAGATTCTGTGATTTTCTGTCCCTCAGGATCATTAACTCCAGATTCTGGGATGTTGTGATTTCTATATGAAGAATAACAAGTGCTTACAAGAGTTCAAAAGGGAACAACTCCTTACAGATGGGAGATTAGGAATGATTTTACTGGAGGTAGATGAACTTGGTATTGACTCATGAGGGCTGTGTGGATGTTGGCAGGTGGTAGACATGTCCTAGCAGTGCAGGTAAAGGAGGGAAAATATGTTAGAGAGTGACAGGCCTTGCAGTTTGTCTGGAAGCTGATTGTGGACAGAGGGAAGTGAGTAAGGGCGCCTTGAGTACTGGGCCAGGCTATTGGGAAGCCCCTGAGGGGTTTTCAGCAGAGGAATGGGTATGGGATTTTAGAAAATGAGTTTAGCAGAAGGATGGGTTGAAACAGGGAGAGAGAGAACCAGAGCTTTATGAAAAGGAAGGGCCTGGTTGTCAGGGTATGTAGGTGTAGGAGGATCCTGCCTGGGGCCTGGCTGGCTTTGGGTGGAGGGCGAGGTGGGAGGAGGGTGCAGGGATTTTAAATACTGTATATGTAGAAGTGGGAAAATCAAGAGAAGGTGCTGCGGGACTGGAGTTAGTATGTGCTTAACACATATAAAGCCCTGAACTTCATCCCCAGCACCACATTGAAAACAAAGTCAGGGGAGAAGGTACTACTTCATGAGGAAGTAGGACCCATGAAGGGGACCGTGTTTTGTGTGGGCTTTGGAATTTGAGTCTGGAACTCAGTAGTGACAAAGAGGGGACTTTGGCCACTCTGACCATGCATTTGAGCCAAGATGAGGTAGGTATTGCCTCTGATCAGACGTGACTCAGCTCCATAGCTTAAATACATAGCAGGGACCCATGACCTTCTGGTCCTGTCTTCTGCTTTTTGTCCTCTAGGTGTCATGGACACAGACATGCAGAAGTTGGCCCGGGAGACCTCAATAGATCCAGACTTACGAAAATGGCTACAGGATCTGAAGACAAAGGGGGAACTGGTGGATTGCGGGGTGTCAGCCCAGAAGCTGCTGAACTTGCTGCAAACAGACACGTTTGAGTCCGGAGCCCATGTGTCCTTCTAGTAAATAGCTTATGTCCTTGGCTTCTTGGGTCTTTTGGCTTCCACTTTGGGGTACAGCCCAGGAGCCCTGGGGCTGCCCACACCCTTTCACAAAGCCCCCTGCCAACCCTGCCCAATGCAGACAACCATTCATGCCTACTGCCCTGCCCACAAAGGCAGCCAGTGGGAGTGGCAGGTGTCACCAGTTGTCAGATCTGTGTCATGCAGCCTGGCTTGGAGAGAGGTTATGGGTATTGTAGTTCTCTATCCCCAGGATGGGAGAGCAGGAAATGCAGCTGAAACACTGAAGAGAAAAGTTTGGATCTCTTCCCCCTGGCTGGTCCATGGGAAAGGAGGGAGTGATGTGATATGAAGGGTGGCCCATGCAGACTCACAGGTGGCCTGGAGAGAAAGAGGACAGAGAAGGTTCCAACCCACACAGATCCTCCTTGCTTTGGATAACAAACACTTTCTGTCAAATTTCCTGTCCTTATCCTGATGCCTTCTTGCTTTAGAACCCACCTCCCTATAGGCTGGGAGTTTATGTACACAGAGAAGGCAAACACAAATAAAATGAGGCTCAGTCTTCACTAATGCCTCCCTCCTCCTCTCCTAGAGGTCATAGCTGGTTTCCTAGGCCCCAGGGTGGTCCAATGCCTATTAACCCAAACTTGGGGTGTGTTCCTCTTTTTCCTGGGGAGTTGTCATGAAGCTGTCTGCTTCATATCACCAAGGCTCACTCAGTGACAAACCCAAGTAGCCAGTGGTCCCAGATGGATGCTGAGACGCCTGTTTCTTCACTCTTTTGCTCACAATGACCCAAGTCTTTACTACCCTTTTCTTGTCCTGAAGATACTCAGAGTATACATCATTCAGGACCCAACACGCCGCCTGCTCTCCCCGTAGCCCTCAAGGATGGAGGGGTTCTCTGCTTGGTGCTGCTTTGGATTTCCATTTCTACCCCTTGCCTACATGTCAGGGCTCTGAGTGACATCCAGCTACTTTGTGAGCCCCCTTGGCATCATCTATGTGGCCCATGGTCCTGGTCCTCAGTGGAGTGGGCTTAGGACCGGCGTTCCTTCCAGGAAGATGGGAAAAATTCCAAGAGAGAAACCTGAGAAATTCAAACCTTTACTGCTCAAAAGACTGGGGCTGGCTTAGGGCTCCACGGTGGTGCTCTATAGCTAGGCCCCCAGCCCATGTTTGAGAGGAGAGAGCATAGTTCTTGACAGCCAATGCCTGGACTCAGTCCTGCGGCTGTGTAGAAGGGAACTCTTCTTTGATCCCCCTCATGCCCAGCAGAGGGCACTCTGAGGCTGTTCCTCCTGGAGAAGCGGCAGCTGCTCCTGTTGGAGGGCAGGAACTGGAAGCATCCTTCAGAGACCCTAAGGAGTGAGCAAGTGACTTATGCTCTTGCCTTGCCCAGCAGAGCCCCAGACCTCACTGGGGTCAAAATCTCTGGGCTTATCCCTGCTCTGGTGCTTACCAGGTGGTAACCCAGGGCAATTCTCTGCTTTAGTTTCCTTCTCTGATAAATGTGGATTATAATACACTATCTCAAAGGGCCATTATGAATATTAAGTGACTTTATGTTCTTAAGTGTTAAGCATAGTGCTGGCATTACACCATGGATGATAAAACATTACTGCCTTTTTTTTTTTTGGCAGGGGGTGGGGGTACCAGGGATTGAACTCAGGGGCTCTTGACCACTGAGCCACATCCCCAGCCCTATTTTGTATCTTATTTAGAGACAAGTTCTGAGTTGCTTAGTGCCTCAGTTTGCTGAGGCTTTGAACTCACAATCCTCCTGCCTCAATCTCCCAAGCTGCTGGGATTACAGGTGGGTGTGCCCTGTGCCTGGCCACATTATTACCTTTCAGCATCAGGATCCAGATGGTCCTGGAGCCCCACTGGCAGCCTCCTCTCTAAGTGGCCCAGACACCCTTCCCTTTCTGATCTGTGGCAAAAACTCTTACTGCTCTGCCCCTATTGCAGGCCTCCTGGGGTGGGCCAGGAACTGGGGTTCCATGTGGATAACCCATCATGAATTTGCAGGAGAATGCATGAACTTTAGGCTCCAGAACCTTCATGTAGGGCTTGAGCCAGGCCTTGCTCCCTCCCCAGACTTCAATTTCCTTAGAGCAAATGAACTCCAAAGTTCCTTTCAGTAAACCTTCCTCTAAGGTGTGGTAAGTGTGGTCAGGCTGCATCATGTGGCATCTGGTTCAGTCTCTGCAGTTGGACCCTGCAGAAGCCTGGGCTGCCTCTGCTGCCCTGGTGAGTGGTGGGTGCATTTCCTCCCTTAGCCTCTTGCTCCCAGGGCAATGAGGGTAATCAGTACCAATCCAGCCCCCTGTGGGAGGTCCAGCAGGGTTTACTCACCCTCTTCCACCCTCCAGCCTGGCTGAGCAGGGCCTTAGGAGTACCATATGTCCCCACGAGGTGGCGAGGCCCTCTCATGCCTGGCCTTTGCCTTCTCTGAGCATAGAACACAGGTTTCAGAGCCTTCTATGTGCTTACTAGGCCTATCTCCCGTGTAATCCAGGATTCTGGACTCTCAGGTGCCTTTGGAACTGGGAAGATCAGAAAGGGATTTCCCAGATCTTGATCCCAGGACCTACCACTGAGGCAGGGAGACTTTTGTGCCAGCCTCCAGGGCCTAACTGTGTGTGTTCCTGGAGTTCATGGTCCAGCCTGGACTACCACAGATATGAGCACATGCAAGAAGACACATAAATACATGCCTACACATGCCCAGAGCCCAGCTGCTGGGGTGAGCAGGACCACAGATTAGCCAAAAGATAAACAAATGTTTCTCTTTGTCTTTGGTGTGAAAAAACTGGATAAATCTTTTGAGGTTTGGGGTTTTGTGTTTGGGGCAAGCAGAGGCAGAGGTGAGAGAGGAATATTCCAAGCCCACCTTAGGGAACTCTAACTCTGAGCATGACCAGCTAGGATGAGGCTGGTCAAGGGTGCCTTCCCACTCCCAATCCCTGTCCCATGAATAGACATGTATGCCCCACACCTAGGCTGGAACCGGGTTCATGGTTAACCAAGCCTGAAGGGGCCAGCTGCTCCTACCCCACTCTTGTCACCATTCCCCCAAGACAAGCTCCATCCTAATATCTCACTCCAGGGAGCCGGGCCCTGGGAAGCAACCTTCTCCTCATTCACACCCTTCCCCATAGAGCATGACCTCCTGTCTATGCATGAACTGCCTGTGGCTGTGGTCATTCTGACTCACAGAGCTAATGTGTGCGACCCCGTGTGAACCCACCAGGAAAGCCCAGCTGCGCTCCCTCACCCCTGGGATCCCACATGGTGACTGGGAGGTAGACAAAGAGCACTTCCAGTTACCCAAGTGGAGACCCCTAGGGTGACATCTCTCTACCACTGCCCCCTTCAGTCTTACCTCTCAGTGACCTGGGCTGCAGGGGCTGAGGAACATCGTCTAGAAGCCATGTAGCTGAGTAGTCACTCAGAACTTCTAGGGTCAGCTGGGGTGGGGGGTTAAATGACAGGGGTGCCAAGGAGGGAGTGAACTGCCTTGAGTGTGAGCTGGAGAGCCTGGGACTTCTGTTTTTAGTGAGGAATTGGGGGAAGGGGAGAGGGGAAGGAGAAGGAATTTTCTTTCTTCTTTTGGGGGACCCACCTTTTAGGCTCAGTTGGGGCCTCAGCTAAGAAACTGAAGCTGTCTAGTGGCCACTTGGTTCACAGGCCTGCCTCCCCAACCCCAGGCCAGGGAGGAGAGGGCCCCACCCACCCTCCCTTCCAGACCTGGGGTGTCTGCTTGGATCTGCAGGACTCTGCCTGGCCCACACTCTGGTTCAGTTCTCTCTTTGGCTGCTGCTAAGGCCTCTCCTTCTCCAACCTGGCCCCAGATGTAAAACAGGGAACAAGGCCTCCTTCTCAAGAGGCTGGGTGTATTCCACATCCTTTAACCAGACCCACACATCTGGGCAATGGTGTTTGCTAAGTGAATGAATGAATGTGAGAGTGAGCAAGCTCTAGTGAATGCAGCAGTGGCTATGGCCAGGTGTATAGACACATTGAAAGGGCCACTACATTGGCAGGCAAGACCCCACTGAATGGGCCTCACCCAACCCGGGCATCCTGGGGAAAAAAATCTGCCCGTCCCCCTTGAAATCCTTAAAGGAAGTCCACAAATGCTTATTGTGGAAGTGGGTAGAGCTGGGATTTAGCAGAATCACCTGGGGAGTAGAAAGTTCTCAGTCTCCCATTGCCCCTGCTTGACCCCAGGTTCTTATTCAGTGCAATGAGGTGTATCCTCCTTGGTACCAGAGTATTAAAAGTGAGCTATGAGCCTTGAGTACCCACCTGAGTATTGGCAGAAACCGGAGAAGGCAGCCCTGGAGAGAAGGGGAAGTTCATGGGGACAGAGTCAGGGATAGGAAATGGGGTCAGTCTATGGCCAGAATTAAGGATCAGTTATGGCCAGGGTCAGAGTTACAGAGAGGCCAGACCTGGGGTCAACCCTGGGCTCAATCTGTAGTAAAAGTTGGAAAGTAAAGTATGGAAATTGCAAGAGAAAACTGGGAGGCAGAAGAGGTCTGCTTTTTAAGATGCTAATTTGCCCATAAATGATGAGTGTCAGGACCAGTGGGCCCATGGATAGAAGGCCAGGTCTGAAGGACAGTGACGAAGACCGGGAGCTGCTTTCCTGGCTCTGGAGAAGGCCCAGATCCCCACACACTCTGGGCAGGAGCCCTGGTGCAAAGGGCAGGGACAGCTGCATTATTTTCTGGAACAAAGTGGAGCTTTATGAATAGTCCATCCTGTGACTTGCCTGAGTGAGAAAGCAAGGGACAAGGGGCAAAGTGGGGGAGTTGAAAGGAGGCGAGTCCCCTCTATGGAATATCCAGGCAGAGAACAGAAACAGACACAGCCAAAGGCAAAGACTGAGACAGGCTGAGAGGACCACAAGAGGAAGATGGAGACAGGGGCCAGAAATAGGAGCCCCAGGGAGGAAAGCAGGAAGATTCAAAGATATAACAGACAGAT